GGGCAGACACACAGGCATACACAGTCTCTCTCTCTCTCTCTCACACACACACACACACACACCTAATGGCAATTTAGCATGTCTAATCAGCCTGACTGCATGTCTTTGGACTATGAGAGGAAACCCACAAAGAAACGGGGAGAACAGGCAAACTCCACACAGGAAGGACACTGGTTGCCCAGCCGGGGAATCGAACCCAGACCCTTATTGCTTATTATTATGATGAGTAGTAGTAGTAGAAGACAGTGTTCAATAACATCAAGTACACTTACACTGAACAGTAGGCCTATATTTATATGGGACTCTTATTGTGATAGCAGGGGCATTCCTGAGTGAAGTTACTGCGAATTAACGCTTAGCAAAGGAGGGCAGTTAATCAAGCTCTCAGTGACTTATTTATTTATTTATTTATTTATGGATATTTCCATTCTGACACACTGTACTGCTTTAAATGAATCTACAAAGGCATATTTAACTAACTCACAGTCTTAATTAGAATAACAGCCAAGTTAATTATAGCTAAATTACTGTCAAACGCACTCAGTGTGCAGCATTCATGCTGCATCAGGTTTTCATTTGGATGATCCATGATCTCTCCTGCATGCAGCTCTCTATTTTTGTTTTTAGCATCATAATCACCAAACTAAGCTGATTTATAGAGCTTATGTTGGGTAACAAGCCACACTATCTCATGGGGGAAAGAACTCTACCATCAGATGTAAATATTTAGCTGTGGAAAACTGAAGCTATTTGTGGGCCAAAATTTAGGGTCAATTGTAAATACATGGTGGGCTGTATGAAGCTGTTTCAGACGGTGGACCTCTACTCTAGAGTATTCATCAAACTCACTTAACAGTAAACCAAAAGCCCCCAAATGCCATATTACGTCCACTCAAAATCTGAAGCAGCAGTATGAAGTGCCATGACTTCTGAGGTGGTCAATCGAGTTTGAAATTACAACAAATATTCCTTGTTTTTGGATTGTTGTCCAATTTTCTTCCCAATTTAGCCATTAGTCGTGTCCAATTTTGACCTGCTAGGTACATCATATAATACTACCATGGGGGTGGGGGGGGTGCTAACTGCTAATTCTGTTTTGTCAGCTAAGAGACTCCCAGGTTGGCTAGCACCACACTAGCCAATATAGGAAAGGGAGGACCATCCTAGCCACCCAGAATGAGCAAGGCTAGTTGTGCTCTCTAGGACTCCCAAACACAGATGGCTGTGGCATCACCAGGATTGAACTTGCAAATCTCCGACAAGAGGTCCAACCTTTAGATGGAAGTCATTGACAGATACCTGCTGTACATTCTTGACTTTATGTACTCTGAAGTAATTTTGAACTACTTCTGTTGGGCCATTCATTCACTTACATGACATGCATTTTTTGTCAAAACAGCCAAGTTATTCATTTTTCTTGATATATTTATTTGAGTAGACTGAGTTTCTAAAATATAGTTAAATATATTTAAAATATACAGAAAAAAGGGGACTCCAAACAACTGTTAGACCACCAAAACGGTCCCCATCACACTGGAACTGGACATTTAAGATGAGTCTGAATTTGTGATTAGGATTACTTGTGAGAAACAAAGTTCAACCAACGTCTAAGACTGAACTCTGGAGGTGTGCAAAAGCATCCCTGCAAATTTCTTGGAAAAACTGAAATTGAGTTGCCTGAAAAGAATGGAAGGCAAAGAGTGGACATACTATTTTCTGAAAAATTGATATATTTAGTTGTTGATATTTCTGTGTAATTTTGCACAGTACTGTATGTAAAGTCTATACCATGTAGGTCTCGGTTTCAACACATGAGAGAACGAGGTAGAAGGCAGGCAGCAAGAAAGAACATGAGACAGTGAAAGAGAGCCAAGGTAGAAGAGAGAGAGAGAGGGGAATAGGAGGAAGAGAAAGGTAGAGAGGGATGGTGCGGGGGAGGGGGGGGGGTTGTGGTTTCCTTGCTGCTGAATATTTACCTGTAAACACTCACTACTCTGCCCAACCCTCAACAGCCAGGTAAAGCCCTCCCCCCGCCCCCTCAGGTCGGTGCCACATGCAGCAGCCTGTTAGTCAGATGTCAAATGACGCACTCCCAACTGCATGGAACCGGTTTGAGCTGCCCAAGCTTATACGGCCATCCTCTGATCCTCCCCGTGCTGCTGGCCTCTAATCCTAAACTGTACCCGAAGCCTGGCCTCGCTCCTCTCAGCCCTGCTGACGAAGCCACTTCGGAGAAAAAGACACAGAAAGAAAGAAGAAAAGAAAGATTCTCACAGCTAGCTGGAGTATGGGCTAGCCATGGGTGTGACTAGCTTTAGGCTAATGTACACGCTAAGTCTTAAAGAGATGAGACGCTAAGCAAAAGCCTGGTAATGCTGCTTAATTGAGCGCTTATCTGGAGAGCAGGGTGATGGAATCTACCTTACACAAACACAGCGTGAGCGGCCAAGTCCCCCCCCCACCCTTCTCCTGAACTGGTTCGTGCCGGTCTGGTTAGCTACGTAGCGAGGAAGGTTCAGTGAAGGGTAAACCCCAGCAGGCGAAGAGAAACCAAATTCCCCTTCAGATAGTCTTATCTCAACAGAAGATACAGGGGTGGTGGACAGTGAAACCAACACCAGTGACTCAACTGAAAGTAAACACACAACTAGCCTTCCATTAGCTGTGTAGCTAATCTTATCTATCCACTTCCCTTTGTTTCTAGAGATGGATAACACTGAAAACCAACTTAATTTTGAGTATATATATCAATCTCTCATCAGAAGATACAGGAGTGGTGGACATTGAAACCAATACCAGTGATTGAAAGTAAACAAATAACTAGCCTTCCATTATATGTTCAGCTAATCTTAATCTATCCACTTCCCTTTGTTTCTATAGACAGATAATACTGAAAACCTAATTTTGAGTAAATATCAATCTACATCAGACAAGTGCTCTGAGCTAAGAGGTTGTAGGAAGTAAAAAATAGTTGCGTCACTGAAATAACAACCCTGGAGGAAGTAAAAGTAGCCTAGCAAAAACTAGCATGGCTTTAAGAAACACTAGCAGGTCCAACAATCCCTCCAGTACCGAGTTCCCTATAGAACTGGGAACATCTTAGTAGTTTAGAGTTTGTTAGAAGAGAATTCCACTGATTGACACTGAACTTTTTGCGTAAGTCAATTATTTAGATGTAAACAGTCATTTAAAGATAGAAAAACCTCAACTGATTTCTTCACAGTGGTGGTGATAGGAACCAGAGTTTGTGATGTCTACAACACAAATATAGCCATTTTATTTACTATCTAAAGCCACCAGTGAACCAACACGTGTCTATTTTTTTGTAGTGTTGATGATGGTAAAATACAGTTGTGTGCATAAGTTTGAGCGCCCTGGTCAAACATGTTTTCTTGCCTGATAAGTTTGATAAGTGTTCCATGTAAAGGATGCAAAGGCTATTTTACCTTATTTTCACTTAGAAAATCAATAAAACATCTTGTTTAAACTTATACATATGACTATAGAGGCAAATATGAACATATAAGCTTTTTTTTAGGGATTTCTTTGCCTCACAATGCCCTGCATGTACCTCTCCACCATGAAAAAAAGTTCTAAAAAGAATTTAGGCCAAATACCTTCTCAAAACTATCATAAAACAATGTGTCAGACACCAGGTAGTGTATTCATAACCATTTCATTTAATAATCTTGTGAGAAAGCTTCACTCTTCACACGTTTGGTTCCTATCACCACCACTGTAAATAATTCTGAGTTAGTGAGTTTCTCTAAAGTGGAGAATTTCACTTCTTAACCATTTATTTATGCAAGAATGTTGAAAAGACAGTCAAACTCTCCTGTAGGCCTCTCTGTCTGGAAATAAAATGCTATTGCTTAAAAGTGCTAAAGCAGAAGAAAGAACAAGGAACTGAGGATAGAACTGACTTCCTCACGAACATGCTTGGGTAGAAGTGTGATTTGAGGTATGCAAAACTGTACTTGATGTACTTTGATTTGAAGTTACTAACGTCGATATATTTATTCTACAGTGGTAGCAGTGTTGACAATTAGCCCTCAAACAGCTCTTGTGGTGAAGTAGCTGAAGTCCTACCCAACACTAAAAGAGCATTTGACAGCTGTGAAAGAAGGATGATGTCAGCTGGTGAGAGGAAGCGTCAGTATGTCAGACTCGCTGAGGTCAGATGGCTTTGCCACACATGTGTACGGCGGTTGCCAAGACAATGCTGAGTAAGTCTTTAGTGCCATTTTGATGGACCTCGTTGTAACGTAACCGGCAGACGTCAGCGTGGATTTTTGGCTCGAATGTGTAGCACTGGGCTCTAAACTCTTCAGCAACATTTACCGACAGGTGTGAAGCAAGATATTAGTTCACTGCAGAAAGGATGCTGAGGTCTACCACTGATATGACCTACTATACCACAGTTTACAATATAGCCAGTGAGGGGGTTTCCCATTGAGCGTATCCTAGTAGTCATATGCTTTTTACATGAAGGGACTTATTCCTTTTATTTCTCAGTTTGTTACCAATAATGTGGCCAGTGAGTGGACACATCACCTAATCCATTCTACCAGAAGGTACTATAACTTTTGCACAGGCCACATTTTATCTCCCTACCACCCCCCAAGTAAACAGTATTTGTGCATCAAAATGTGTTCCCTGTTGAGGGTGCGTTAACTTATTTTAGTCATTCAACCAGGGGTGCCAAAACTTTCGCACACAACTATAAATAATTTCGTTTGTTGCTGCAGGCCGCCTGTATATATTTAAAAATCTATACATTAATGTTAATCAATCAATTCATGTATACATTAATTATGTATTTGCACACAAAAATACCCCCCCCCCCCAAATGTTCAGAAACAGCCCTGGTGGGATATTTTATCCACTGAATGGACCTCCACAGGTTCTATTTCTAGGCATCAATATAATAGCATCAACTGCATTTGCATTCATTTCATATAAATTGCACACATCAAGAACAGAAGACACTGACAGTGACGTAGATGTTAATAATTTATTGTGAGAACTGACAAAATTGTGAGGAGGGAAAAAAAAAAGTACAAATAAATTAGTGGCCACTTGATATTGTGGTATAACACAGGAAAACTGAAACTGAGGCAAAAGGTGAGACAATATTAACAGGCTTTTTTTGTAAATATAAATATGAGGCGTGATCATACAGGCGTTTTTTTTTCCCTTCATCTTCTCGTCGTCACGAGGCACATCATGCACTTAAACGTGCATTTACATGTATAAAAAAAATTATAAAATGCAAAAAAAGAAAAATTAACAACAAAAAAAAAAAGTTCACGTAAGCGCCTTTTTCGCAGTCTGATTGGCTCCAGAAAGCGCGGGAAAGGTGCAGCGTTCCACACAGGAGTCTTCATCTCCCGCGTGCGAGAGGAGAGACGCGTCGCCCTGGTAACCGCGGTACCTGAGGTAACCGCACTGGCTTCGTTAGCTCGGGCTAGCTCAAGTCTCTCGTTTCTCCCGTTTCTCCTTCGGTAAAAGTCCCGGTGGGGGGGTCACCGCGGGTTCCTTGGTTCTGCTCCAGCGTTTCGCTGTCCGTTTCTGACCCTCGCGGCTAAGTTTTCACCCCCTTTTCAGTCCTTCAGTCCTCCGCGGTCTGTTAGCCGTAACGGTCTCCGCTCGCTCAGTGCGCGTGCACACAGCCGGGCCGTGTTTCTGTTCAAAGTACGTGTTTTAAAGACTTTTCAAGTCGTTTCTCCTCCTCCAGGCTCGTTCAGCGCACGCCGAGGAAGCGGCGCACGGCGCCGGCGATGCGCAGCAGCTTGTCCTTCTTGCGCTGCCGCAGAGCCATGAGCGCGCGCGCCGTCTCTCCGGGTTCGTGCGACGCCGCCGCGGCGAACACGCTCCTCGCGCGCTCCTCTGCCTTGGCGTCGCCCGCCTTGCGAAAGAGCCGCACGAGCGCGTCCTCTCGCACGTGCTCGAAGATGTGCGGGGACGCGCGCTTTCTCCGCGCCGTGTCGAAGCCGCTGCCGTGCACGCGGGGGCTCACGCGGCGACTCTCGGAGCTCAAGTACGTCGACATTGTCTTTGTCTTCTTGGTCTTTCTCTCGCGAGCCTTCGTGTTTCTCGTTTGCTGTGTTTGTTTGTCGCTTGCGCCTCTTCACTCTCTCGCTCTTTTTTCTGTTCTAAGATGGTTTACCGGTTGCGAGGCGCGCGAGGCCGGTGGTGAGCAGCTCAGCGGCGATGCGCGCGATTTAAAGGGCTGTGGATGACATCACTGGCGCCAGGGGAACGCCTACTCATGAGCTCAGCCAATAGGAGAGCAGCAGAGAGGCGCCAGTAACGGGAAAGCGGCGCGTGAAGTGCAGGGTGGAGAGAGACAGAGAGAATGTAAGTTATTAATTACTAATAGATCTGGAGCTTGATAAACTCGGTTATCCATCAGATTGGGAAATATGCAGCAAGTGCGTTTACTATCAGGCCTCCAATTAATCTAACCAAAGTGGCGTTTTAATGTTTATTTAAAGGGAAACTCCACCGACTTTTCAAAGTTTCTGCATAATTTAATGGTGCAGATGTAAACAAAGTCATTCAGAGTGGTTTGGTGTGAAATGCTCTGCTCTAGAGAAACTTACAATGAGAATTATTCACAGTGGTGGTGATAGGAACCAGACGTCCACCTCTAAAAGCTCCCTCACAGAAAAAATATTACATGCAATGGTTATGAATTCACTGCCTGGTGTTAATTACACTGTTTTACAATAGTTTTGAGAAGGTTTTGGACTAAAATATACACAACATAGTCCCCATAGACATTTACCACTATTTCACCATCGTCAACATTACATGTAAAAACTCAGAAGATACGTGAAGGTTCACTCGTGGTTTTGGATAGTAAATAAAGTGGGTATATTTGCATTAGTGACCCCTGGTTCCCATCACTACCACTATAAAGAAATCTGAGTTGCTGCAATGAAGCATTTCACTTCAGATCTCTCTCTCTCAACGACTGAGTATATGCAAAAAATTTGAAAATCAGTGGGCTTCCCCTTTAAATAAGAGGAATGGTGAAAGTGCTACATTAAAAGCAAGCAGTGATTGGCTATATAGCCCAATGAGTATGAATTTGCGGCAATATTTTGGTGTAGATGTAGTTATTTACCTTTGAAACTGATCTGTAAAAATACAGATCAGCCAAATTCTTCTTCTTCTTCTTCTTCTTATTATTATTATTATTATTATTATTATTATCATTATTACTGATAATACATACATACATACATACATACATACATGTTCATGCGCTGTCTATACAGTGCACATACTATGTTTTTGTCTTTCATTACTGTAATACACTAATCCTGTTTTATTTGACCCTAAACTAAGCCCTGTTGGTCAGTTTATGATATTGGATAATTCATTTTATTGATCATTAAATATCTTGTATTTAATAAGCTCCCATATTTACTTTTTAACTGTAATGCATTACCATATTTTCATACTGCCTTTCTTTTGAACAGGCTGTTTTCTTGAATTTGGAGAATGTAATACATTTGTGTCTAAACTTTATTGGGCAGCTCATGGTGAGGAATGATCATCATTTTATATCATTCCATCATATCTACATGTTAAAGAGGAATTCAACCAGTTGTTCATCAATTCTACATTAATTAGCCACACTTATTGAGAGTGGTTTGATGTGAAATGCTTCATTGTTGAGAAACTTACCAACTCTTTACAGTGGTGGTGATAGGAACCGAGTCAGTAACACAAATATAGCCATTTTATTTACTATCCAAAGCCACCACTGAACCTACATGTGTGAGTGTTTATATAAAATACAAAATTTTCTCTTAAAACTATCGTAATGTATTCAGTGGGATCAGGGTGTATTTGTAACCCTTTCATATAATTAGTTCTGTGAGGGGGCTTTCTGAGGCTTCAGACATCTAGTTCCCATCACCACCATGATTCTGAAATGGTAAGAACAGAATACAGAATTTCATACCAAACTACATATTAAACTGAATAATGCGAAAAAAAATGTTGAAAATCAATGAAATTCCCACTTAAGTCGGTCAAAGGCTGAGGTAAATCTGGGAACCTAGTAGCTAAAGCTATTCCCGTAAGGCTGGGTGCTATAAGTGTCACCCCACTGTTTTTCCTGGCTGTTTATTATAGAGGGATTGCTCAGATCCTGCCTGTCCTGATGTCTGTAGATATGGAAATGGTCTGTAGAAAGGGCCCCAATGCAAACAAAGCTTGCTATTTTCCTCCTATTATTTCCTATTTACATGCTGAGCCGTTTCTGTTTTGGTTTTGGTTTTACTCCTTTCCCCCCTTGACAGTAACTACAGTCCAAACATCTGATGGAAAAAACAGCGTTAAATGCTTGGAATTTCCACTCAAAGGCACAAGTCTGCCAGTGGCACTCAGCTCGGCCCCTGGAGACCCCAAAAAATGTGCCATTGTTGCATCGAAGTGAAGGAATGCATGGCACTTGGCACCCATTGTCAGACAATTCTGTCTGTTCTCAATCATATTGTTTTACTTTCCTCTCACTCCGTCTGGCCGAACTGTGTTTTGTAACAGGAAGCCTCTCTGTGAAATGGGACAGGAGGAACATGTCATAAATTGTCCATTCCTTGTCTTAGACTTGCAGAGACACCAACCTCAGCATGGCCTCCCCACCAGAGGAAAGGAAGCATCGCTTGGTGCTGTCCTTCCAAAGCCCAGCCAAGTTGTCCCTTATTAATCATAACAAGGGGAACACTAAATTTAACTGGGGTCAAGGGTCACATCAGGCCGGAGAAAGCAATTCTCTCCCATAGCCCTAACAGGAGCCAGCGAAGATTTTTTAGCGTCTAACCGTAAAATAACAGTAATGAACACAGGGGGGCATAGGGCAGACGAGAACTGACGAAAAGAGGACAAAATTGTGTATTTAAGAATGACCATAACTCAAACTTTTGTATAAGCATAAATATCAACTTCATCCACTGCCCGTAAGTGTGGAAAGCAGTAAGCAGCATAAAAACACCATAAAAGGAAGAGATGAGACAATACAACAAAGCTGATATACTCTCACTGTCCGCTTTAGAAACACCCGCTTCGTATTATTTTTTCCCCACTGGCCATTTTATTAGCAACACCCACCTTGTACTTCCACTCACTAGCCACTTTATTAGAAACACCCATCTTGTATTATTTTTTACTGGTCATTTTTATTTTATTTTTATTTTTTTTTTTGTGCTGCTGCTCTCTGGCCACTTTATTTGAAACACCTACTTTGTGTTTACACTTACATGCCACTTTATTAGAAACATGTACCTTGCGCTTCCACTCACTGGTCACTTTAGTAGAAACACCAACCTTGTAAATCTCTTCAATAGCCACTTTATTAGAAACACCCACCTTGTATTAATTTTCACTGGTCATTTTTATTTTATTTTATTTTTTTTTAGGAACACCTGCCTTGTGCTTCCACTTATTGGCCACTTTATTTGAAACACCTACCTTGTGTTTCCACTCACTGGCCACTTTATTAGAAACATCCACCTTGTATTTTCACTCATTGGCCACTTTGAAATGCCCACCCTGTGCTTCCACTCATTGGCCACTTTATAAGAAACGCCTACCTTGTACAGGAGAGGAAAGAGAGTAGTCTCACTAGTGATAGTAGTCTCACTAATAGTCTCACTGACTATTTTGTTAGAAATAAACCCTTGATGACCATTGCTATTACATTACAATTTATTAACCTACCTCCCATTCATCACTGGTCAGTTCCTAACCATAGTACTGTTATCCAGATATTTGGGTGGTGGACCTTTTTCAGGACAGCAGTAACTAACATGGTATTGCTAGATATCCAGCCAAGAGCAGCTCTGTGATAAAAAGCTGACCACTGATTAGTGGCTAGAGGATAGCTAACACAAACTGTGCATCAACAGATGGGCTACAGTTAAACTGCACACCACCAAGGTGGAGCTACAAGGTAGTGTGCTATTATAAGGTCTACGACTAACTTCTGTTTTTGTCGGTATTCTTAGACATTACCACAGATTGGAACATACTTGGCCATGCATTAAACAGATTCACAAAACCTCTGTCCTTCTCTTTGGTTCACTTTTAAATTGCATAAGAAAATGAGGTTAAGGTTCTCCACTTCAAAGTGCATGCAAGACTACTGCAGATGTTAGGATGGTAATGTTCTCAGAATAGTATTTACCTCAGCAGTCTCCACAGAATGAGCTAAAGAATGTTCTCTTGTTCTTTGTTCTGGTTTCTTCCTTTATATGCACGACTTGTTTAGGACGACTTCCCTGGTCTCGCTGTTGTCGGATGTGACAACACTTCATCCCAGGAGCAGATGACATTATTTGCTGTAGCAGACCCATTTAGGATATGATGTTATACCATCCAGGAGGATAAATTATTGATGTGATACTGTAATGCTGCAATCATTGGCTCCATTTAGTTTATGAAAGGACGTCTTGGGGCTCTGTGGAGAATTATGTAAAAGAGCCATCTGTATCAATCTGTTTGCCGACTAAATCTAATCAGCAAGTGGAGATGGGTGATAGGCGGTCTGTTCTGCAATCACATTCATAATCACTAATCCTACTTCAGATCACAGTCTCTAATAACACCCTAAATCAAGTTAGACTGCCCTAATTTTTTCTTTTTGACATCATTTAGTAAGAATTCCTTCTGTTGACACACCACACTCAGAGGGAGAATCATGGCGATTCTAGTATTTCACACTTTTTAAAATTCACTTGTCAGTAAATCAGGTCACACTCTGTCACGATGAACACAGTGTGCTGTGCTGGTCATTACATGCGCTAAAAGAATGGTCAAAGTCTCGGGAGCCTCTGGGATGCGAGTGAGTTGAATCACAGGTCTCTAAGGTCAAGTCCGAGTTGAGACTTTGGGGTGAAAATGAGTTGGTGTGAGTCAACTCTCTGAGAGGGTTCTGATTCAATCCTCTAGTCTTTGGAGTCTCTGAGATGCCTCTCTGAGTCAAGTCTTGAATCTCTGGCTTGCGAGTCAGAGTCAAGTCCAGAGTCATTGGGGTATGAGTCCAAGTTGAGCCTCGAGTCTTTGAGGTGCGTGATGTGGTTTAGATCCTGTTTGCAAGTTTTTTTAGATTTAATTTTTTTTTGTTGTTGTTGTCGTCAAGACCATCAAAATTCAATCTG